GATATAGTAATACCCATGGAGTCATAAACATGATGATGGTATTGATGAATATAGTGCTTATCTAGCACTTGCTGTGTTCCAAGATGCAACTCTCTACATATATCAATACACATTAACCGGTGCAGCATCTTAGTATATACTGTCGTTCTCTTCATTGTTGGAGATCAATGAATTCTAACGGAGAAGCTAAATTTGGAAGTATGAAGGTGGGTTGGTCATCAAGAGTATTGTTTTATACTGAGGGTAGCTCAGTGGGAGAGTACTTGTTTAGCATGCATGAGGCTCTGCATCAATCCTCAGGCCCAAGTGGAGATAACAGATAGAAAGTTGAATACAGAAGTTAAAAAGCTCAGTGGTCAGGGTTAAGACTAGGCATACATTTGAGAGTCCTCAGCATGTGCTGAGAAAATATAAGGTTGACTATTAAGACTTGCTTCCTTGACATTCAGAGGAAGATACAAGAGGCAGGGGAGGTGTCACCAGCAAGAGGAAGAAAACAGTGGGATCTATTCTCTATATCCCAAGGGAATAAAATTTTATGATCTGCATATACCTAAATATAATCTGTGTCCAAGGGTTGAAGCATCCAGCTAATTCAGCTGATTTTCAAACACGGAAATCAGAATTTCTGTCTGTTGTATTGCAAATTGAGACAAAATTTAAGTGGGAGTAATGATGTTGGGAATAAGTTACTTTTATGATTTCCCTTATCCAGGTGAATTTAATACTAAATCTCTCATCTGAATCTTAAATATGAATGTAAGTATGTCAGCTTCTTCTGGTGAAAAAGAACATGAGGCTAAATTCTCAATCCTTCACTCATTTGCGTGTAATGGGAGTCTACTTATCACATTTACATTTTTAAAATTTATTTTAATTTTATGTGTACAAGTTATTGCCTGCATGTAAGTGCACCCATGTTGTGCAATGCCCTCCAAGAACAGAAGAGGGCGTCAGATCCCCGAGAACTGGAGTTACAAACAGTTGTTAGCTGTATGTTCAGCTAGTTAATGTTAAAAAGTAGTACAGAATTGTAAGTAAATAAAAATCAAAAGCCAAGTATTTTCCCAGCACTTGGGAGGCAGAAGCAGGAAGATTGCTTTGAGTTCAAGGCCAGCTTGGGCTACATAATGAGTAATAGGCCAGTCAGTATCACGTAACAAGACCCTGTCTGAATCCTCCCCCCCCCCAAAAAAACCCCCCAAACTATAGTATTTCCCCACAAGGAACAACAGCAACCCAGTTAACTTGTTTTCAGTGTAAGCCTATTTAAGAAACTACCTCTGCATCCTCTTGCCATTTCTAAATAGTTAATGCTGGTACTCATTCTCCCCAAAGGTTTCTTGTCTACCAGCTTTCAACTTTACATCTGTCAACTGGGATCATTTTTGAAAACACATATTCCTAGGCTATATCTCTAGAAATTGACTCCTTGTAGTCAGGAAATTCTATTTTAACTAATACTTCAAGTGATTCTAGTTAGATGATCCTTAAACTACATAAGATAAAGTGTCAGAGCCTATATAAATGACCTGTTACTCCCTTCCTGTGACAATATTAAGGCACCTTATTTATATATAGATACATAGTTAGCATACTAGAGATACCAATCTACAAGATTAAGAGAATGAAAAAAGGATTAAGAGAATGGAAACACCAAATATACAGCTTTCTTTTATGTCAATAATCACAATATAAATATTCTTTGCTTTTTTACAAAAGTAGTTTTTTATATGTATTTTTGTTGTTGTTTTGAGACAGGGTCTCTTTTATACAAAAGTAGTTTTTTTTTTAATTTTTAAAAATGATTTATTTAATAACAACATACTTAGAAGAAGCATATCATTACAACACAATTGACATACGGTTTCCTGAGGTAGGATGCATCTCTTTCAAAATTGGCTGTAAATTTTTAGGTTTACAGTTGAATTATTACGAGAACCTTGAGAGTGAGTAGGAAGGATGGACTGGCAGGTTGGCAAGCTGGCAGGCTAGTAGGTGAGGTGACTAAGCAGTCAGATATTCCTGATCAGGGCCAGTTTGGGGGGAAGAGATGACCTGCTCCTGCTGTGAGAACCCTGGGTTTCATCCACTTCTCTACCAAGATATTTACCAAACTCTTAAACAAAAGACTAGCAACTCCTCAAAGACCAATTCTGCCCTCTGTGATTTTGTAAAGTTCATCCCACCTTGCATGTCCTTTGTCCTGCAGAGTTTGGATCTGGCCTGAAGTGTCTTAGCTGTCTTTCTCAATTCTGACAGTCTCATAACTGTGCTGTCAGCATTAATCTTTGTTCAAGTTCAGACCTGGACTGATCTTCCTCCTTACTGTCTGAAACTCTCCTCAACCCACAACTCCCCTTGGGACAGGCCTTTGTAGAGCCAGGAGTAGGCTGCTGCTGCAAGGCGGCTGGGTGGAGCCTGTCTTCAGCAGCTTGGAACTAGAATGTGTCCTCTGCTCCCAGGGGCTCTGTGTTTAAAAACAGCACAGGCAACCCTCCCTGTGCTGGTGACACACAGACTCATGAGGGTGAATAATCATTTTGATAGTCATTTTGGGGGTAAGCAACAGAACAGTGAATAAAAACTCATCTCCAACTAAAAATA